GGGCAACCTGGTCTAGTTGGGGGTGTCCCTGCTGACTGCGGGGGGGTCGGACTAGATGGCCTTTGGAGGTCCCTTCTGGCCTGGGCAATTCTATGATTCTATGATCATCTAGTACAACCATCAACCTATAAGTACAATGGGGACTTGGACACTTCATTACTCCATACCACTTATATTCCATAGTATTTTCTCTCGGTAAAATAACAGACCCATTGACAAGAAGTTACTCACTGAAATGACAACTGGCAGCTTGAGCATGCAGAGCACCCCCTGCTCTCCTCACATCTTGGACTGCTTATGCAGGACCACATTAATTCACAGGACCAGAAGGTCACTGCTTCACCACACAAACCTATCAACAAAGGCCACTTGCAGAAAACCTCGGGGTCAGTGGGACTGCAGAAAGTAATCCATAATTCAGTCCAAGCATTAACCCACCCAGCTAGTATGATTGCAGCAGGCTATGCCATTACCTGAAGCAGATTTCCAAGGAGCACTCCAGGCTACATCACTGCCTGGAGGAGTGCTCTGGGGTGAAGGTGGGATGCCCCAGTCCCGGTAGAGGACACACCCGAATCGTGACTAAGGGAGAAAGCAGCCCCAGCATTTCCCTACTAATTTATAATCTAGATTATCCTGTGAGTCAGAAGTACCAAACGGATGTCAAGTACAGAAATAAACCAGCCAGCAGGTAGCAGTCTTTAACTTCTGGTTTTAAAAATCAGACCTATTCTCTCTTTCACTTTTTACTGACAGCTTTCAAAACATTTGGGAAGAAGGTTATGGCTGGTTTGACTTTACCATAGCATTGTTTTACTCTTCCACTGTTCATTATGTATTAAAAAACTCATGATTGTCATGATGTACGGTGCTCAGAAGGAAAAACCACCCTAGCAGCAGTTTCATCTAGAAGCAAGTCCATGACAGCAACAGTCCTCAGGACAGATTTTCAGATGAGGAAGTATAAAATGCCCACTCTCCTGCTTTGCCTGTTGACGGGCAGCCCAAGCTCAATTTCCATCTGATTTCACTTTCCAAGAGCACCTGTAAGTGTCACTAAAGCAATTTTCTTCCCTTACAGTCTGCTTTCTGTCACTGACTGGCAGCATTTGTAAGCACTTAAAGGCACGAGAGGCTTCATGGGACCATTCAAGCAGCTCACCCATTCGGGATAATAATAGTCACAATGGGAAGTTAGTGACCAAGACTGACATTAGTCACCTTTGCTTGTCTCTAAAGTAGGTGTTTTCTGAGCATTCTTCCACCTATTTTCTGTGCTCACTTTAAGCACCAAGCACATTACATGGAAGAGTAAAAGAGAATCAGATTTCTTAAAGACAGGATGTTTTCTATTTTTAGCTGGCTGACAGAAAAAAGACTTGCATAGGACGACTCGTGCTCCATCAGACGCTACCTGATCCAAAGTACCAACTCAAGCTTTAGATCAACAAGAGAGTAACACACCATTCCAGCATCTCTGAACATCATCTTCTGTTTATTGCTGATACTGCTTCTTCACTGACACTGAAACCATGTAATTCATACGAAAACTACAGCCTTTTGCAGGACTTGACAAATACCTAAGTATCAGTTCAACATGCTTAACTCTAATGCCAGGATTATTTTTAATTCCCTCCTTCACGCACTTCATACTGTTGTTTTCTAAACACAAGTGTACATGGTATTTATTTAGCAACTGTCATTTAAGATATCAAAACAGTTTCACAATTTGTACATTAACCCCACTCTCAAAAAGTTACCATTTGGAGGCTGAGGTTCTTCACTAATGCCTGCAGAGAAAAGAGGAATTTTAATTTGACAAAAGCCCCTTTCATTCTTTGAGATATTATACAAGGGGGGATCAAAAAGCCTGATTTCCCAGGTCTCACCTGAAACACGAATCTCCTCCAAAATAGACGACAGGCAAAATCTTCTCGCCACCCGACAAAAAAAGCAACCTCTAACCAAATGCTCAGGACAAAGCTTTCCAGACCAGAAAAAACAGCATCCGCTCTCCTGCCTGTCCCCTGCCAAACCCCCACAGGTACCACAGCTGACGTGCTTCCCTGCAATCCACAGGGAATTTGAAGCCAGCGGAGATGAGCCCCACTCTGGCCAGCAGCATCACTGCTCAGCCGGGCACACGGAGCTGCCTGGACCGCTTTATTGCTAAGGTTCTCCTTGCCAAAGCAATCTCCTTTGTAGGTTTATGAACAGCTCTTAAGAGGTTTCCTTTGAAGGTAATATTCCACTATTAAATATGCAAGAAAGTTCATCTCACCTGCTGTTCAAGGGCTCAAACCAACAAGATCTACTGCAATAGCGCTTCAGGCAACATGGAAGGGATTAGGCTAATTTTGGGTTTGGAGCATGGAGATGGGACAGATAGCTTCAGGAGGTGCTTTCTAGCCCTGCCAATCCCGGGTTCAAACCTCTCAAGCAGAATACCACAACCACCACTTCTGAACCAGAATGATCCCCGTTATTTGGCACCACCAGCCGAGTTCAAGCCAGCACGGACACGCTGGAGGCTCTGCTGAAGACAGTGAACAGGAATGATCCCTGCTATTTGGCACCACCAGCCGAGTTCAAGCCAGCACGGACACGCTGGAGGCTCTGCTGAAGACAGGAGCATGGCTCCTGCGTGGCTCCACTGGTAGCTTTCTGCCTTGCTCCTGCATTCCTTAGACCTCCCTTCTTCTGCACATCGTCCCACTGCCGTAACGCTTGGGTTGAAAACACCAGGTGTGCCATACCTCTCAACATAACAAGACAGACAATAGCCAACAACATAACTGTCTGACAGGAAATTTAAAGATCAGGTAAGCAAAGACTGGAGACTTTATTATCTTCTGCTGTATTAGTTTCTTCACTTACTTTCTGGCTGTTTTTCGTTAGGTGTTATGGATCTCACGAAATCCTGCGGTGTCATAAAAACCTCTGATTCACCGTGCTCATTTATGACTTTCAAAGTAGCAAAGTATCTGAAGATTTTGTCTGGCGTGGAGTAGGCTCTGATCCTGTTCTCATATTCCATAACCTGGAAATGAAATTTAACCAGCATTAGATGTGCACGGCTCCTCTCCAATACCTACAGCAGCACCTTAGTCCTCTGAAGGTGTCACCACATGACAACAAAGTTCTGGGCAGCAACACAACACTTGAGAGAAATAATACTGAAAGGATTAAAATCCCTCCTATCCCCAGGCTTTGAACTACCAGGAGAATTGGGAGTATCAACTCCTGATGTCCCAGAATTGAGAAGAAACACAAAGTCTTTACTATTGACGAGTTTCGACTCTTCACGATGACAGAGAAAAAACAAATTAACAAAATCCATGAAGGTGCTTTTAAACACAACCATAAAAAAGTACTAGTATCGTATCAGTGGATCTAAAGCAGCTCAGCATTTTAACCACAGTGTTGAAGGGTCTGATTTATAATTAATAAACAAAGTAAAAGAAAAGGCTTGGAGAGCTGGGAGAGATCTTTACTTTAAAGCAGAGCGTTGGAAAAAAACCTACTTGGGAGCCGCAGCTGGCTGCTCAGCCACCCAACCTCATTTTTTCCTCTCATCTATCACATTGGCAAAATTCTGCAGAAACAGTCTTTGCTCAGTCCTTTTCTCCCCACCAATCTGCCTTGTTAACTCTGCCAGTAGCGATTATTTTGTACCCAGAGCTGTTTTCCCCAACACCCAGCTAGAATTAATCAAAGAGAATAGAAAGCTTTTATAAACAAAAATCACAACATAAGGCCACAAGGGAGGAAAAAGGCACAAAGACCTACACTTTATCATGTATTAGAGCAGAAAACTTTCCTTCTTAGTTCAGCTTTTTATTCCTGCATTATACACCGTGTCTAACAGTCCACAATGTACTGGAAACCTTCAGTACTTTTGGTCAAGAGCCACAGGAGGAAAAAAAACAACCAACCAACGATCTCCTGGAAGAGAACAGGCAAGATCAAGGATACTGCCAAGACATCTGTAGATCATTTATGGCTTTGGTCTCGTTTCAACCTTGTCCTTTAACTTGAACAACTCCTCCACCCTGATGTTTATCAGAAAGAAAACACCCTCTCTAATTTTTCATGCTTCTAGGATAAAACAAGCCAAAGGCTTTTAATCCCCCAACCCAAGGTTGGGTAAACTAGCCAAGGGAAAGCAGAGCCAGTCTCCTCTACACTTGTTCCAGCTCAGCTCTCAGGCAAATGAAACCAGGAGACAAGCAACATGTGGCAGAAGGTCCTTCTGATATGGCTCTGACATTATCTAAAGCATTCTCCCTATTCTTCTTCACATTACCATAGATTTTTCGTGATCAAGCCCATCAGGAAGGCAGAAATAACCTAGCATCACCCAATATAACCAGCCCCCCTCTTTCCTGTAGCCACCTGCATGGAAGAAAAGTTTTGCCACTACTCCTTTTGGTTACCAGCCTTTGCACCTTGAATCAAACTTCGTCCCGTTTTTATCGCTTCAGTCCACAAGGTCCTCCAAAGATAAGGACTGTTTTATTGTAGAGTTGCCCGTCGCCATCTCTCAGTCAAACCGCCGTGAAGGACAGCACGTGCTTTCCCTGGTGCCAAGCTGCACGTGTCTATCTACAGCCCCCAAAGTCATCTTTTGACTTAGGGCCCATTATCTCGTTCCTTGCTGTAGCATGACCTGATCTTTTTATGAGTAACACCCCACCCAACTTGATCAGCCAAAACCCACTTCTACCTCTGAGCAAAACAACTAAAACCAGCTACAGTGTCAAGCCCAGGACTGGAGCCAACACCACAGACCACAACCACCAGCTCCCTCCACCCGTGACACCTTTTCAACACAGCCCATTTTCTAGCTAAAACACTAGTCTGCCTCAGACCTTACATTACCCATGGTTTTCCAAGCCAGTGGAATAATTTCTTGCGTGGCTCTGTCAAATCCTTTCCTTCCACCCAGCGAGGTAAGTTGCGTGTCTTTAACTCAACAACTTCACTGCTGCCCCAGAGACAACTCATCTTTTGACTTAGGGCCCATTATCTCGTTCCTTGCTGTAGCATGACCTGATCTTTTTATGAGTAACACCCCACCCAACTTGATCAGCCAAAACCCACTTCTACCTCTGAGCAAAACAACTAAAACCAGCTACAGTGTCAAGCCCAGGACTGGAGCCAACACCACAGATCACAACCACCAGCTCCCTCCACCCGTGACACCTTTTCAACACAGCCCGTTTTCTAGCTAAAACACTAGTCTGCCTCAGAGTTCACATTACCCATGGTTTTCCAAGCCAGTGGAATAATTTCTTGCGTGGCTCTGTCAAATCCTTTCCTTCCACCCAGCGAGGTAAGTTGCGTGTCTTTAACTCAACAACTTCACTGCTGCCCCAGAGACAACAGTCTTGACATTTCTGCCAGCAAAACCATTTTGCATCCAATTCAACTTGGCATCTGCAATGCATGTTTCCTCCACATCTGTTTTAAGATCTTCCTAAGATGCTACTGAGGGGCCTGGTGCTGACAGGTACTTTTCATTTTTGTAGTGTGGGTCTTCATCATCTTGCCTGAGACTACTCCTTACCCGTCCAGCAACTTCACTGCCAACTTTTTTCTTACCCCAAGCTCCGAGTGATCCTCAAGGCCCCTGCTTAATTGATGTTAACAGTCTTGACATTTCTGCCAGCAAAACCATTTTGCATCCAATTCAACTTGGCATCTGCAATGCATGTTTCCTCCACATCTGTTTTAAGATCTTCCTAAGATGCTACTGAGGGGCCTGGTGCTGACAGGTACTTTTCATTTTTGTAGTGTGGGTCTTCATCATCTTGCCTGAGACTACTCCTTACCCGTCCAGCAACTTCACTGCCAACTTTTTTCTTACCCCAAGCTCCGAGTGATCCTCAAGGCCCCTGCTTAATTGATGTTAAGCAGTTTACACTGTGCTTCAACTTTGGGCACAGCAATATTCCATCACCCCTTTCAGATACACGCTGCAGCCCTTAAGACCACCATGATCATCACTTCCAACAGAAGGGAAGTGTCTATTTCCTGTGTGGCCCTTTCCTAGATCATTTGCCATCCTGTTTTCTATCCACGCGCACTGCAAAATGAACAGCTTCCTAGGATGACTGCCAGACACTCATCGAGGATGTAATTTTGAGTTATGCAGCTCTAGAGCAGGGAGGAAAAGCCCAAACCCAGGCGGCTGCCTTCCCTCAGGACAGTGGACACCAGCCAAAATCCCTCATCCTGCCCCTAGAGCCACACTTTCACGTCATCTGGGGTCTCCAGGAAGAAATTACATGAGCAAAAGAGAAGAGCTCTTTTTGGCATTTATTAACAGAGGAGGAAGTGAAGGAGAAAGATTAGCAAGTAATCCCTATTGCTCCACAAGAGAGCAGCTGCTGTTGAGACAGTCAGTGTTTATGCTAAGCCACAGGTTAGAAGGAAAAAAATTAAATCCTGTGCAGACATGAAAATAAAGCTCTAAATTAACATTTCCATTCACTTCCAGAGCATCACTGGGGCCTCCCTGATTGTGCAGCAGAACGGGAACTCTGGCAGTCCAGTTCCACCGCACACATCTTAGCAGGGTAAATTAATTAATTAGGATTCATTTTCTTTGGGCTTCCTACTATAATACACACTAAAATTAAGTCTTAGCATGGCTAACACTCCTAAGGCAGCACACCTGAAGGACTCAGCAAACACTGCAAGTGCATCTTGATAAAGCAGTCCTAATGCTAATGCAAACTCTAATCCTAATGCTACATGCAAACTCTTTTAGCAAATTAATTAACATGTCAGCCCACCCACACCATGACCTCATCGCTCACTACCCTTCAAACTATAAAAGCACATAAACAATCCTGTCCTTCCCTCCCTTATGTAGTCAGGACCTATACATTGCATAGGCTGCAAAACAATCCGTGCCCTGGAACCAGGCACACACGATCCCAGCCCCAGCAGATGCCAAGTGATTTATTTCAACTTCCTCTTCACTGAATCACTACCCAAAATAGCAAATGTCACGCCTAATTTATTATTTCACCACTAATCATCAACTTCATTAAAAGCAACGTTGGGATAACAAACAAGTGTTAAACACGTTCAATTAAGCTTAATTTTTTTTCTCAAAGAAAACACCACCGCACTATTTTTAATTAATTACGTGAAGAGTGGGAAAGTGTTTTTACTGTGGGTTTTGTTGTTTGTTTTTCAGAACCATCCAGAAGAATTCCCTAGGTGCTCCACAGCCGATTAGGGGAGCAGCACATCCTGGGTGCAGCCCTGGTGTTGAGTCAGGAGCCAGGGCACACCTTCCTCTGTTATCTGAGCTGGGCCCATTCAAACATACCTCCTGAGATGACTCATGATCAACTGCTGATCACGCACCAAGCCCATAATGGAGCCACTCAACCAAACAGAGCCCAGCACTTGGGAGACTACCAGTTACTCCTGCATTAAACAGAGCAAAACCAACATTGGCATTCAGGTCACAGAAGGGACATTTGGGCTTAAGGCTGGAGAGAAAAGGGTTTATGTTGGTGAAAGATGACAAAGTCTGTCTTAAACTGTTTTCTCCCCACTGAAATTGCTGCTCCTGAGTGGAGAAAGGAAGGCTGTGGACTGAGAAGGGATCCAGGCTACACGTCATCTCCTCTTGGGCACTCTCCACGCCTGGTTCATGTCTTATTTGGAAAGCTTGGCCACATTCCTCCCCTGCCTAGTATGGGAAGGAAAGAGGTAGTCAACGTAGGCACATCTCCTAACAACTGGAATAAAAGTCCTCGCTTGCAAACAAATGTTCTCTGGCTTCTCTATCCAAAAGCAACCAGCCACATAAGACAAAAATCCATCATTACGTTCGCTGTATCAACAAATGCTCTTTTTTAAAAATAAGAGGGTGGATGAAGGTGGATCATTTCTTTGCTCTTTGCAACCTGCCTCCATCTGCTGACGCTGGAATAAATAACTCGCTGTTCTTGAGTGGTACTGGCAAAAGCTGAAGTTTTGTTGAAGCTGTCAGACTACCTGACACCCCGTCGCCAAGAAAATTAGCAGAAGCCAAGAACCCACATTCCTGGACTATTCTGAATATCTCAACGTAGTACCTTACAACAAACTTCACTGAGCTGCCATGAGCATGTCACAACAGGGAAAGTTTGGAGTCCCAAATACCAAAAGGCACTTGAAATTTCAAAGTTGTGTAATCTACTCTAACCAAGAACAGAATATGATTCAGCAGCTTCAAAGAAAACAGCTCTTAATTTTTCATGAAAAGCTGTTAAGCCACTATATATGACCATCCACAATTTAACAGCTAATGAGATGCAGCCTCCAGGATACAGACTTAAAAATAATTATCAGAAGCAAATCATACAGAAAGGAGCTGTGAAGAGCGTATACTCCCATTCCCCTCTCTGGCACTGCAAAGATACTAAATCAGCAAACACAGCACAATAAAAATGACATCCAAACAGGTTTTAAAAAAATAAAATACTGCTGTCTGCCAATTCTCAGTTACAGGACTCTCTGTCAGACCAAACTGTACATCTTGTAACAACAGAGGTTACAGATAGCACCAAACTAGCTGACAGACAGTTCTGAGGAGCCTCAAGCTCTCAGGATTGCCCAACAGTGAAGGCAGGTCACAAGTTGACAGTGCAATTCATTACTCAAGCTTTCCTCCTCTGGAAAATGTGCCTGATATGAAAATTAAACAGCCATAAGCATCAAGAGAGACACGACTAACCGTGACTAGGGAGTGAGGCTGTATTTCAACAACTGTGTTTACATGGAATAACGAAAGGAAAAATTAAAGTACACCTTTCCCATGACCCTCCTTTCCACACTCATCCTCTACTTCTTCCTACAGTACACTGCCCATTTCCCTGTGAACACATACAAATGGATGGACTCACACAGAGACACTTGCTGGTTGCCCAAGATGGTTTCAAAGCTCTTGCACTGGTTCCCTACTTTGCATGCACCATCCTAACAGCCATTGAGGCAGGAACCTTGATTTCTCAGCGAGCCATTTCTCAGACATCCAACTGGGGATGGGAAAAGAGGTCTCCATTTCAGAGGATCAGTATACCATGCTTTCCAAATAAACGAGTTTCAACCTAAAGAAACTCAAGGTAACATGCCAAGAAAGTAGGCTCCCAAAACAGCAAGGTCCCTTAGGAAATAAAGACAAGTAGAGAGCAAACACCAGACTCAATACATGCGCTGTACCACAAGCAGAATAAGATGTTCTGCAAGTTTTCTCCCGTTACCCACTGCAGTGCAACAGCTGCAGGGGGAACAGGCCCAAGGTCAGTACCTTACGGTCCCTGAACCCGGAACGCTTCTTCTTCTTCCCTTCTGGCTGAGCCTCCTCATCGCCTGATGCAACGGCCTTTCGACCCTCACCACCACTGCTCTCCTCCTCCTCCTCCTGCTTCACCTTCTCGCTTGGCTCTGTCCTTGACTCATGTTTTACAGAGGACGAGTCTTCTGCGTAGGCCCTGCACAAGGGGAAAAGAAAACACCGGCTCAGGAAATGATTTGAGAGGGTTGCTAAGGCTATAAAGATGGCCCTGCAAAGCTGTCCCCGAACGAAACGCTTGTCACAGCTCAGCGTGGAGGATTGCAAAGCAAAAGCAAGGAAGTGATCAGTCTCCTTGGAATAGTGTGTGGTTTTCCCTGCTGGGATCAACTTTCCACCCTCCCACCCCAAGCCCCAAACTAATAATCAGAGTAAGTTTTCTCAGTCCCAGCACACCAGAACAAATGTGAATTCTCATACCCTCTCCAAAATATACGTGTAAGAAAGATTGCGAAAGGCATGCCATACGTCCTCTAGCTCAAAATTCCACCCCTGCTCCTCCCAAACAGATTTCTATAAAGTGATAGAAACATGCTTTACCATCAGCACTGCAGGATCCAGAAAGAATAGCCTCTTAATTTCAGCACAACTGATTTATTTTCTATCTCCAGCAGGTGACAGTCTGTTTTATTTCCCTCTTCTACCAATGACTCTTCTAAAATCCAGCACTACAGGATTTGCGACAACAAGAATTTCACTGAATTTTAGAGTTGGAAGGGACCATAGAGATCATCTAGTCCAACTCCCCTGCTGAAGCAGGATTGCCTAGAGCTTGTCAGAGCATGTTACTCAGGAGCATCCAGGTGGGGCTTGAAAATCTCCAAGGAAGGGGACTCCACACCCTCCCTGGGCAGCCTGTCCCAGGGCTCTGCCACCCTCACTGGGAAGAAGTTTCTCCTCATATTTGAGTGGAACCTCTTCTGTTCCAACTTGTGCCCGTTGCCCCTTGTCCTCTCACTGGGAACCACTGAAAAGAGTCCGGCTCCATCCTCCTTCAACCCACCCTTTAGACACTTGTCAGCATTGATAAGGTCTCCCCTCAGCCTTCTCTTCTCCAGACTAAAGAGTCCCAGCTCTCTCAGTCTCTCTTCATCAGGGAGATGCTCCAATCCCTGAATCATCTTTGTAGCCCTACGCTGGACTCTTTCCAGCAATTCCCTGTCCCTCTTGAACTGGGGAGCCCAGAACTGGACGCAGGATTCCAGTTGTGGCCTCCCCAGTGCAGAGCAGAGGGGGAGAATGACTTCCCTTGACCTGCTGGCCACACTCTTCCCTCTGCAGCCCAGGATCCCATTGGCCTTCCTGGCCACAAGAGCACACTGTTTACTCATTGTTGATCCTCAAACTGGAAATACAACTCTGGCAGAGCAAAGGACCCCTTTGCCCTTGCTGTTCAAATACAAAGCTTGCACCCCTTTGCCCTTGCTGTTCAAATACAAAGACCTTCAGCCATCCTCTTTGCAGACCAAGACTCAATACCCAAACCTGCTCTTGTCTGTCTGAGCAGAGAGCAGCTCACGGAACTGCAACTGGCAAGAGGGTGGTTAAATAAAAAGCAGGATAAATCCACGAGCCAAACAATACCACAGCTTTCCAACGCTTTACTCGTAAAGCGGTTTATAACCAGACAGAGCTCAGACCACATTAACATGAATGAAATTATAATCTCTAAGGATACATTTACATGTCACAAGCAACAAAGCCAACGGTTTGACAGTATTATTTCCTCTTTCTAAAGGAGTAAAACAGTTCAGGCAAATATCCTAGCCTGCCTGTAACTTAAGTGATTCCATCTTTCCTTTGCATTCCTGGTGATTTATTTGGGGCTAATGAGAAGGTAGAAGGCTCACACACTGTTAGGCGCCGCTCATTAGCCAGCAGATGTCAGGTGAAGGCTGGTACTTTGGTACTCCCTGAAACTATGAATGTGGTCATTTACAGCTGCGTGAGTTTATTCAAAAAAGGTTGCCTTGGGAGAAAAACAAAAACAAACCAAAGTTTTTTTGAAGTCTCCCAAGCTCCAAGCAAAAGGCTACGCATATTTCCTCCTACCAGTTTCCTGATAAACACAGATGTGGTAAGTAAAATTAACAGAAAGGAGTCTGTGCTTCTCTCCCCAGCAATTTTTGCAGTAATCTCAGCACATCATCTTCCTAGAAGAAGAAATGAGGGTAGGTGCTCCTTCAATTAGTTGAAATGCTACCAAAATAAAACTCACTCCTTACCAATAATTCACTGACAGTCACAGTACAGGACAGATGGGGAAGGGCTAAAGAACTCAAATCCTTCCACAGGACTGGTGGGAAGCAAAAACTTTATTTTTCTAGAATAAACTCCCCAAACGCATACTTAGGAGTAGAGTGAATCATGAAAAAAGCAAATTGTGTCATATTGTGTCAACTACTTCACCAAAGGACTGGAAGCACTTGAACAGCCACCAAGATCCCAACATTGTTTTGAAATGCAATAACCCACGGCACAACGGCTGGATTAAAGCAGTTCAGAGGTTTCCAGTCCATCCTGGGACAGAATACAGCTCCATTGCAAGGGTTTGATTTAATAAAATACACAAGCACTTGGTGAAAGGCAGTACTAACCATGCCATTTCATGCTAGAGTAACATACCAGTCCTTCCTTTCTGAAAAGGTCCTGAGCTTTATTTGGCAATATATTTTCATAAGTCTTATAGCAAAGCACCATCTTTAAGACTGAACGAAACTTCCAGCAACAGGATCCAAACCTGAGTCCTCCACAAGCATCTTAAGGAAATTATTTCCCCAGGAGAGCCAGGAAGATGATCTGTCTCCTGGAGCATGAAGTCCACCCTGGCACCTCTCCTGAAGACTTTCCTGGAAGTTTAATCAGCACTGGCACATCCTTGTGGAGTTGTGGTTTTGGATGATACGCAGTTTGTTAGAATAAGCTGTTGCCAGCTGAGGCTACACCAGCAGCACTGACAAGGAAAGCCTTTGTGTAGGCAGAACACCAGTCTTTAGCAGCTCTGAGAGAACCTCTTGGGAAAAGGTCCTACAGAAAAGCAGTAGAAAATTGATTGCTTATCTACACAACTAAGCTAGGCTGTATGAAACATGTCAGAGAATAGCTGTATCAGTAAAGATTTGTTCCTGCAATGCCTGACTGACAGCTAGCAAACCAGGGAAGGGACAGATGAAATTCAAAATCAAACATTTTCAGCAAATCCCACACGTTCCTTCAATCCATCATGCTGTCAAGCCAGTTGGCTAGAGCGATACAGACGTAGGCTGTTTGAATACAGTCGGCTTTTTTTCCCCCTCTCTAGTTTATTCAGGTAATTAACTCTGCTCCACATTTAGATCACCTTCCCAGCATACAAGCAAAATGAGCTATTAGAATAAAACTCGAGTTTGTAGTCTCCTTCTCAAACAAGGTATTGAACAGTACCTGGTATTCCTCACCTCCAGGCCACAGTCCAAACTGCTCACTGAATTAACCATTGAAGGATCTGCTCTCTACGTACACCTACTACTCTGTGTATTTTACATCCTACACAACCATCCTCTGTTCAAATCCTTGGCTTCCAACAGCTGCAACTTCCATACTGCACCCACATTAAGGAGTCTTTCAATGCAGATGTCAGAGTGTGGCTGGAAAAACCCCATAGCTCCAGAAATATCCACCCTGCTGGACTGCCATCTGCAAGTGAAGATTCTCCACTTTTTTTTTTTTTTTTGATGAGACTGACTTTCCAACAGCATACCTTCTGCACAAAAGGGAAATGAAAATACAAAGACTCCCTTCACTGTGTGCCAAGACAAGCTCCCAGCCTCTCTCTCCATGGAATGTGCATGCTGCCATGTTTCAATCCTCCCAGTTTCTTGATGAGACTGACTTTCCAACAGCATACCTTCTGCACAAAAGGGAAATGAAAATACAAAGACTCCCTTCACTGTGTGCCAAGACAAGCTCCCAGCCTCTCTCTCCATGGAATGTGCATGCTGCCATGTTTCAATCCTCCCAGTTTCTTGAGGGTTTGTTTCCCCCCTTCCCATCCTCCCAACAAATTCAATTTGAGGAAAATCCATACTTCCCACCTAATTTGTAATCTCTTCTTTTAATCCTCAGAGAAAGTCAAGCCTAAGATTAGGTTTGTCATCCCCAAAGAAAAACAGCTAGCCACCATAGAGGACTACTCCATGCTAAATTCCCACCTCACAAAAGTTTCTTGGAGAAAGCCAAACGCATGCAACCATAGGACATACATCCACAAAGGATCCCGGGACTCACACCAGGCATTGGCAGGAAGAGTCCACAGTCACAGGTTTTCCAATTAAAGAAATCACAATGCCTCCCTTAAAAGAATTTTTCTTCTTCTTTGAGAGACAGAAGCAGAAAGAGACTCTCATATCGAAATGCAAAAGCAAGCTTGGACACAACATTCATAAAAGTAGGCAACCTCCAGGGACAGGGAGTACTTCATGTGAGGAGCTCTGTCTCAGCCTCAGCTCAACCATGTTCAGCAACTAAATTAGTTAGCTGAAACATTAATAAGATATTAACCAGAAAGAAGATCCACAGCCCAAATTTTCAGGATGTCACCCCACTCGCAGGACTTTTCACAACTTTGCTTCCTTCTCCATCTTTCGCAGTACTTGACACTGACGTAAATTAGCACAACAAATTCGTGGCAAGAACTGCAATGAACAGACCAAAATTGGGACAGATTCCAGAGATGGAACATGAACAATGAGACTGAGCTCTGGATAGCAGCCATGGCATAAAACAGGTCAAAGAACATAGGAAGACAGGAGCATAGTCTGTGGGACGTGCATGTCCTTCCACCCACCCCAGCCAGCAGCAGGAACATCCCCATAGAAGCACCTTCAGCTACTGAAGGTGCACTCCAAAGAAGAGATGGACCAACTGGAGAAGATACGACAGGGAACAGCAGGAGTGGTTCAGGGTAGGAAAAATTGACCTAAGTCAGTCAGATTGCTATAAGAAAGATGGAAAAGAAGAAGATGAGATAACTGTAACGCATGTAAAACAGCTCTTGAAGGACTACTCTCTTGGTCCAGCAAGGACAGGACAAGAGGGGGGACACGTGCTTAAGGACATCATAAGGGAAGAGACTTATAAACCAGGGAAAGGAGGAGAAGC